ACTAAAAGTGATTAAATGTAATTACATGTTAAACGTAACTACAAAAGAAGAAAACACATAAAATTAGAAAAATGGACATAAAAAGCAACAATTGTAAAAGAATTCTATGTATATATTAGTAAATTTAGGTCAAACTGAATAGGTGTATTTTCTTTTAAAAATAAAAAATTCTGCTGGGTGTGGTGGCACATGCCTGTAATCCCAGCAGTCCGGAGGCTGAGGCAGGAGGATTGCCATGAGACTGAGGTCAGCCTGAGCTACATAGCAAGACCCTGTCTCAAAAATCCAAGGAAAAAGAATTCTAATATTGACAAAAATAAAATACCTAACTAGACTAAAACTTTTTAAAAAATCAATTAAGTATACTCCACCAAAGCAGATAGTCTCTCGTGCTTTATTAATGAATCCTTTTGACCTCTCCATAACTAAATAACTCACATGTTAAAGAAATTATGCCTAAAATAGGTTAAGATATAGGTTATTCTATTTTATTCTACTACCATGATTTGAAAACTGCATAAAGAAAAAAAAGCTGTAGACACAAGCTCACTCATAATTCATGCACAGAAACCTGAAAGAAAATAATAAACAGATTCAAGAAATAAATTTAGTGCATGTCAACATGTACTAAAAATATATTTTAAAATCCAACATGTTTTTAATTTTAAAATTCTAAAACTAATAATAAAGGTATACATTCTTAACCTGATTAGAGTGCCTACTTAAAACCAAACGTCAAAAAAAACCCAAACAAACCAAACATCAATATTATACTTCAAGGGAAAAAACAAGCTACAGTGTCATTAAAAATAGGCACAAAATAAAGAAGCATTCTGTCATTACTATTAATCAATACAGTATCAGATCATCCTTCCAATACGATGTAATAGAAAAATGAGTTAGGATACAAAACCAACATTTAAAAATCAGTAGCTTTTCTATAACACCAATAATAGAGTACCTGAGAATGAAATCTGGAAAATAATCTCATTTCCAATAGCTTTAAAAAATAAACTAAAAAATACTTGGTTAGGAATTAACCTAAGGGCTGGGGATATAGCTCAGTGGTGCTGCACCTGCCTGGCAAGTGCAAGGTCCTAAGTTTGATCCCCAGTACAGGAAAAAAAAAAAAAGGAATCAACCTAACCAAGGAACTGGAGACCTGGAGATCATCATGATAAGTGAAGTAAGCCACCTCAGAAAGACAAGTATCAAATGCTTTCCCTAATACTGTATGTGGAATCTAAAAAAAAAAAAAAGCATGAAAGTGGAAGGGAGACTATTATTAGACAAGGTAAACAAGAGGGTGGGGAGAAGGGAGTGCAAGAAAGGGTAATGCCAGAATGGAAAAAAGTGATTAATTATATCGTTATGAGAGCATGATGTTGACATGAATTTATTGAGGTGAAAAGGTATCTAGTATACTCTATTAAGTGAAACAGTATGTTACAAAACAGTAGATACAGCATTACCTAATTTTTTATTTTAAAAAATCCACTAATATATACAAATATCAAGAGATTTTCTAGAATGGTGTTCATTCAATTGTCTTAATCTATCTCTGGGACTGAGATGCTGAGCACATTTTTCTTTTTGTTTAAGAGTGTTTTTTGACTTGTGCTATAAAAAAATTTCTGAGTGGAGGAAATTAAGAATTGCTGTAAGTGTGTGAAGAGATGGATATGTTAATTAGCCTGGTTGTAGTAATCATTCCATAATGCATATGTATCTCAAAACATGATATTGCACATCTTATATATAATATATAATTTTGTCAATTATAGTTAAAATGGAAAAATAAATGAGTGATACATATAGAGTAAAGGCAGAGATGAAATCTTTTTATATACAATACCACTATAGACTTACAAAGCCCAAAGAAGTAATTTAAATGGTTATAATGAATTTAAGGTGATTAGAGTCACCACCAATATAGAAAAATAAATAGTATCCCTGGTGCCCAAATATGAACACACGTGAAAGTCACCTGGGAAAGCTTTTAAAAACATTGATACCCATAACTCATCCCCCAAAAATCTGCCTCAGAATCTCTAGGGGTGGAATCAGGCATTAATATTTTATAAAGTTTCTGAGGTGATTTCAATGTGTAGCCAAGTACAGCTACCCACTATTATATATTTAATTATTTAAATAGCCAAAGATGCAATACAAAAAGTGTAAGCAGAATAATATCTGCAAATGGGAAAACAAAGGCTGCTGTAAGGGAATAAGAATTCAGAAGAGGAAACATAACTGGAGATATAGTTAGCTACTGGCAAATATATCCAGTCTATTGCAGTTTAGCCTAAGCAGGCAGTTAACAATCAAGCCATTGGAGAGGCACATGACCCATGGCCACAACAGATTGATGGCAGTGAGAGAACATTAGTCCCTGTCTAAGTGCCACTGAGTCCCTATCCAAATGATGAGGATTTAATAGAGGCTGAGGTGCTACAGGATTAACTGCATACCTGTATGAAGCTATATGTGAGATAAATTCCTACAAATACAATTTCTGAGTCAAACAGCATGTGCCTTTCTTTTTTTCCAGTATTGGCAATCAAACCCAGAGCCTCCCACATGCTAGGCACTACTGAACTACATCCTTGGCCCATGATATATACCTTTAAAAGTGAGAGGTTAATTTTGAAAGATCTTAAATATGAAATAGAAATAACATGATATATAGTCAAAATATTGTCCTACATAGATAAGAGTGAACCCCCACTGCAACCGGTAGTCATCATACACAATGTCCTCATCCTAACAGACCCCTAACACAACAGGCATGGGCTGTTGTGTTGCTAGGGCTCCTGGTAATCTCTGTCTTGACCACTGAATTCCTCTTTCAAGTCATTCCCTATTTGAATCATTCTAACTCTTTTCTTGCTTCACAAATCTTTTACCATCAAAAGCTTTTCCAGACATTTCTGTTCAATACTTCATGTCTGGTTTTTGAGTATAAATATCTGATCTGCCAATTATAAACCACAGTTCTAAATCACATTCTAAATCAAAGCACTTTTTTTTGAGGATTGAACCTAGGAAGTGCTGAGCTATATCTATACCCTTCTTCCTTTAATTCTATTTAAGACAGGGTATCATTTAAGTTGCCTAGGAGAGCCTTGCAATTCCCTGCCTCCTAAGTAGCTGGGATCACAGGCCTGCACCACTATGCCTGGAAAGGATCTTTTTTTTTTAATGGAGAATCGAACTCAGGGCCTTGCACTTGCCAGGCAGGTGCTGCACTGCTGAGCCACATTCTCAGCCCCGAAGATCTATTTTTGACTATGTTTTTAAAGCCCTCATGCTTATTAAACTTTAATATGTAATTTAAGATGCTTCTCCCACAATGTTTTTCCTGCTATTTTCAATCCAATCACATCATCTCTAAATTTACATGAGTCTCCTAATACAAGCATGCTTCATTCATTCATTCAACAAATACTCGCTGGGCATCTATTCTCTAGCGCTGTTTTAGACACTGTGGATAAAGTTCTTGTCCTCAGAGAGCTCAGGAAGAAAAGGTATGTGAGTGTGAAGGCAGGGCAGGCAGGTAGCTAATCAAACAACTATACAAAGAGTAGCCAGATGCTGATGACTGATATGGAGAAAGTAAAGCAAGATACAGTGATTCCAGAGTGTGGTAATGCATAATTTTCAATTGAAGGTGTCATGAAAGCCATCACTGGTAAGGTAATTTTTGGACCACAAACATGAAGGAGGAAGACAGGAGCCAAGGAGATTTCTGACAGAAGAGGATTCCAGGCACAGGGAATAAGTACAATGGTCCAAAAGCAGAAGCATTCCTGGACTGACTGATACACAGTCAGGCCAGTCAATGTAAGGGTGAGCAATAGAAAATGTGTATCTTATAATATTTTTAGTTCAGAGGGTTGATACATAAGGCCACTAAGTAGTTTTATTTAATTTTAATAGTCAAAGAATCATCAAGCCAGAAGTTATCATATATCCAAGAGCAGCCCTGCTACAATCCATGACTGAGGTATAGGAAAGACCCTTACTATCAACACTGCTGGGCAACAGGTTCCAGAGATTACAACTGTGGGAAAATTCATGGGAGTTTGTGGAGGAGTAATGTTGCCATGGAGCTGTCTAAAAATGCTGTGACACCTAGCTTCCAGTCTCCTATACCATCGATGACTCTGCCTTCATCTCCTGCCCTTTCTTTCCAAAAACTTTTGTTCAGAATACCAGGGAAGTTTCTTCACTTTATAAGGTAAAATAATGTAAAATAATTTCTTTATTTATTAAGCATTAATGGCTAGGTGTGGTGGTACATGTGTATAATTCCAGCACTCCGAAAGTCTGAGACAGGAGGATTGAAAAGTTTGATCCCAGTCTGGGCAACTTAGTGAGACCCTGAAAATAAAAAATAAAAATGACTGGGGATGTAGCTCAGTACAAAAGCCTTGGGTTCAATTCCAGTACCACACATACATACCTACATACAAAGTATTACTGGGGCATATCTATTTCATCAAGTGAAGTCTATTTACACTGACTGCTAATCTGGTTTATCTTCTATATTAAATTAACATTTAAAATGTTTTCTATTTCAGAAATGCCACACATATTGCAACTAGAGAAGATGGCTTGGATAATTGGTATTCATACTAATTTTCAAACCATATGTTTTGCACTCAGACTAAAAGCTGGTACTTGACTTAAACCTACACATCAGAGACACAACACACAACTCTGCTTTGACAATACCCAATGGTCAACCTAAGGTATAGCAGATTCCTATCAAATGATCTAAGGAATCATCTAACTATATCTTCAGCACAGATTTTTAGGTTAATCCAAAAATAAATAATTTTATCAAAGAGCTCAGCAATGAAAACTGACAAGAGAAAGTAAAAAAAATATTTAAAAGCAATGTACAGACTAACTATGGCTATCGCAACTTAGGCATTACAAAGTTATGGTAAATAATGTACAATACATTAGTTAAAATTCAGAATCATGTTACTTACCTGGGAAATATACTTTTCCTTTACTTCATTGTTTTCTCCAATTTCCCCCATAATGTAATGCAGCCTAATACACATCTTTAAAAGTTCACTCATTGGTTCTACAGCTGCAGTTTCAGTCCTATAAAAGAATCACATATCATCACTTCATGAAAAGAGAAAGCATATTCTAGGAAGCTGAATTGTCCAATCTGATTACCCTCCTTTCCTAATTCACATTTATAACTATTCAAAACAAAGGCAGGTGGTAAGGACAAAAAGATACAAACCAGTAATTTATAACTATTTTAAAAAGAAGAAACTAGAATATATTAATGGAGGGCCAGGGATATAGCTCAGTGACACCATGCCTGCCTGGCAAGCACAAGGTCCTGAGTTTGATTCCCAGTACCACCAAAAAAAAAAAAAAAAGAGAGAGAGAATATATTAATGAAAGCAAGGTAAATTCTCTCTGAAAACAGAACAAGATAATTCATTAAAATCTGTAATTTTAATACTTTTTCTACCAATGAATCTCTCTCCCTCCCTCCTAGCTAGACATGAGGTGGCCTGGCAGAAATGACAAGATTAAGTAATGTGTGCCCTTGGTATATTACAGACCTTGGTACATTACAAAGGATCAGAACTATGAACATCTATCTGTGAATATAAACAACTTGCCCCTCAGAAAAAAAAACATCTTTACAAAAGGGAGCCTTCTACACTGCTGGCAGAAATGTAAATCAGTATACCCCCTACAGAAATCAGTATGGAGGTTCCTCGAAAAACTAAAAATAGAAATACCATTTGACCCAGCTACACCACTCTTTGGTATATACACAAATGAAAGTCAGGATATTATAGGGTAGTGATGGTAAACCTTTTAGGGCTTTTAATGATAACAAACAGCCCACTGTAGCATGCATGCCTTAGGTTCACCACTACTGTCACAGGGATACCTGCATATCCATGTTTATTACAGGACAATTCAAAAACACCTGAGATAGAGTACCAGTGTAGGTCCCCATCAACAAAAGAATGGATAAAGAAAATGTGGTAGTATATATATATATAAATACAATGGAGTATTATTTAGCCATAAAGAACAAAACTTATGTCATCTGAGGGAAAATGGGTAGAAACTGGAATTCACCATGTTAAACAAGGGAATTGGAAATTACTGCATTAAGTGAAATAAGCCAGATCCATAAAGACAAATCTTTTCCCTAATATTTGGAATATTTTTAAAGAGTGGCATGAAAGTTGGGCTGGGGATTTAGCTCAGTGGTTCTGCCACCTGCCTCACAAGTGCAAGGATCCAAGTTTGATCCCCAGTACCAAAAAAAAAAAAAAAAAGAGTGGCATTAAAGTAGAAAGAAGACTGTTATTAGACAAGAGGAAAAGAATAAGGGGGAGAGGAGTGTAAGAGAGGGTAATGGGAATGGATAAGATCAAAATATATTACATGCATATATGAGAACACCATATTGAATTCCAATATTTTGTAAAACCGATAGGCACTAATAAAAATATATTTTAAAAAGCATCTTTGCCAATGTACCTACTAGTTTTCACTAGCATTCTCACATCTTTAACATATACTTATCTATTTTTTACAGTTTGACAATCTTCATTCTAATATTTTATAATTAATCCTTATAATGATAGTAGTAGGTATATTCTATTATTCTAATCACCCAGATGAGGAAACTGAGGCACACAAAAGTTAAATAAATTACTCAAGGAAATGCACTACATGCTATATTTCTTTTCAAAGGCAAGAGTCCCCGAGAAAATATAATTTTACAGTAAGGTAAAGTTTCATCCATCTTTTTTACTTTCTTTTACTGCTGTCTTGGTATTTTTAGTTAAAGTAGCTGAAGGTCTAGTTAACTTCTGTTGAAATTTTTTCCAATTCATAACTTATTGAATAATCTAAGTTCTAATTCTACACAACTTAAAAGCTCACCTTTTCTTATTTAAAAAATTATCATGGCTGGGCACAGTAGTTCATGCCTTTAATACCAGCTTATCAGGAGGCGAGGCAGGAGGATCATAAGTTCAAGGTCAGTTGGGCAACTTAGCAAGACTATGTCTCAAAACAAAATTTTTAAAGGGCTAGGGATGAAGCTCAGTGGTAAAGCTCTTCCTGCCTATATAAGGCCTTAAGTTCAAACCCCAGTACTGAAAAAATTTTCCTATGAACCTCAGAAAAAAGAAATCTTTCTAATGTTGTGGAAATCAGAAGTGATAATTATTTTAAGCTGAGTAAGTCTTCACCCACTATTTTAGCTTATTACAGTTCAAATATTTTGCTATACATATCAGATTCTCTTATAACTTTAAAATCACAAAGGCCTTGCTCAAACAAGATACGGTATTTCTTTTACTCCTTAATTCAGTTGATTGGAACACGATGCTAATGATGTCAAAAGCTCTGGGTTCAATCCACCAGACTACCTAGCTTTGTCTGCTTCACATCTAGAGACTTAGCCTGGATAGCATAATTTGGCCTTTTTTTTCCAGTACTGGGGATCAAACTCAGGACCTTGCACTTGCCAGGCAGGCGTGGCACCACTGAGCTACATCCCAGCCCATGTAATTTGGGTCTTAAGAAGAATCAGGTGGGAGTACCCAAAATGAATAGCATAAATACATTTGAAAAGAGAAATGCCAAAGAAGCACAGCCAAAACATCAGCCTCATCCATTGGAAGGAAGAAAGGGAGGGAGGGAAGAAGGGAGGAAGGAAGGGGAGAGGAAGGTTGGTTCATATCAACAACAAAGGACTTCTAGATTTTTGAGTAAGAAACGCTTCTCAATCTCAGAATAAAACCTAAAGATTTTCCTTCAAAGACAAATCAGGTATACATTTAAAAAAGAAATTAATGTTTTTAATATTTGCATAGACTTTGCTTGATTGATCTGAAAATAGCATTTTATTAATCCTGACACCAATTCTACTAACAATAAAAAAAATTTTGCAATGGTTTTTTTAAAGTATCACAAAAATTTCTACTGATGCAACACTGAAAACCACCAGAAAAATGGCTGCAATTCCATAAGTAGTTTTTACTAAGATTCTTTTAAAATTATTATAAATTTTCATAAAACCAAAAACTGTTCTATTTCCAAATAATATGAAGTTATTTTAAACAAGCTTTTTCAAACTAAATGAAGAAGCTAACCAGTATCATATCTGTTTACATTTTAAAATAACACAGGGCCCATTCAAGTAGATTTTCCCACCTCAACAAATAAAAATGAAAAAGCAGAACTACATTCCTCAGTTGCTAATGTGGGGAAAAACCCACTTGGGATCATCTTCGAGATTTCCTGCCCACAGCTAAAAAGAACTTCCCAGTGTACTAATGCTACAAAACACATGGGTTCCAACAGTCACAAGGTAACTATGACAGCAAAGGCATAGTTATTTGTGAGATCACAGCAACTATATGATGTAATTTTTAAATTGAGGTAAAATCCACATAGCATCATATGAACAATGTTTTTAAATGGCATTTAGAACATCACAATGTTACATAACCAATTACCTCTAGCTAGCCCCAAAATATTTTCATCAATCCAAAATGAAATCTGGTACTCATTAAGCAGCTACTTAATAACAGTAATAGCATAGAGTTAACTAAAGGTCCATAAGGCTTAATGATTATACTAGTAAAGATAGAGGGGAAGGGTACCAAAGAATGAAAAATATGAAATTTGAAAAGTTAATTAATGGATGATGAGGAGGAGGAGGGGAAAGTGCAACAGAGAAAATCTTGATAAGGGCAACCCACACAGATGGAGAACCTGTGCTGGCCCCTGGCCGACTCTGCACCCATGGATTCTCCCCCCTGGCTGAGGTCATCCATAAACTCCAAGCCCATTATGTGCTCTGCTTCCTTTCAATACTGGGCAGCAGAGGCACCAACCAACAGACCAACCTGACCATAGATGAGGCCAACGCCCTGAGAGAAAAGGTAAGCATGGAAGAAAAGCTAAACATGGAAAAGTGGACAGCTCCAGGGAGAAATAACAGACCTGGCCTGCAGCACTAGACCCTCAAAAAGTCAATGGAGAAAATCATGACTTGCTGGATTCCATGAATGCAGATCCTGGAAAGAAGCCACTCCTGAAAAACACAGAGGAATTTTGTAAATTGGCTCAATTTTCATTTTTTCTTTTCTCTTTTCTTCTTGGTTTTTCTTTCAACAGCTTTTTTTGGGAGTTTGGGGTTTCTTCTCTATTTTTTCTTTTGTCCTTTTAACTTTTTTCCTTATTTTTCTTTTTTCCTTTATTTTTCTGCTTTTTCATCTTTTTCTTCATTTTTAAATTTTACTGTTATGTTACTTTCCTTTTACTCCTCAATAGGATGCCCTATCTCATTTTTCTCTCCTTCTCCTCATCTTCAGTTGTCTCAGTGTGTAAACCTATATAATTATTCATCTTTTTTCTATGGTTAAGGGTGGTACAATATTGGTTCTTATGGTGTGTCAATATCCAGTTTGTCTTTTATGCTATTATTGTTGCTGATTTTATTATTATAGCCAAGGTGATGTGATTGTTGCTGTTAATTCGTCTTCTCAGTATGCTAATAACTTTGTGTCATTAACAATACTACTAAGAATATTATTGTGCCTTTGTGTCATTAAGAATACTATGGCTCATTCCCAGAAAACTAGATACTGGGCCAAATATATCAGAGCCTCCCACCCAAATAAATGGAGGTGGTTGGATCCTGGAACAGAGGCAAAGGCCTTTAGTTAGCCATATCCAGAGGGCATCCTGAAAAGCAGACATTAACCAAAAAGTCTCCATACTAACAACAAAGCCTTCCCCTATAATCAACCTGCAAGCCCCAGCACAAAAAACAAAGAAACAAAAATAAAAACATGAGAAGACAAGGCAACAAAATACATCCAAAAAATCCCAACTCACCCAAAACTGAGGCACAGGACATGGAGGGGAAAGAAATCAAAAGCCCCACAGCTGAATTAGTCAAAAGGATAACAAGGACAGATTTTTTAAAAAATAGATCAATAAATTTCCTGATGAATATAAAAAGATATAACTAAATAGATAATTGTCCTAATATATAATCATAAAATAGTGAGTCTGTGGAAGACACTAATAAAAAGCTAAGTGAACTAAACAAAACAATATAAAACATGAATCTCCAGCACAGAAAAGAATCAGAGTCCATAAAAAGGCACCAAACAAAAGTTCAGGAGATGAAAAATTCTGTTGAAAATATGGGCAGCAGATTTGACCAATGGGAAGACAATGTTTCAGAACTAGAAGACAGGGAGGGTGTTGGTGAGAGATACCATAAAAACAATAAGAAAACGTGAAAAATGGACCCAACTGCTGCAAAGATTAAGACTAGTTGAAATTAGTGAAAAATCAGAAGATAGCACAAATGGCATAAAAATGTATTTACTGAAATAACACAAAAAACTTTCTAAACATAGGAAAAGAATTTAACATACAGCTAAGTGAGGTATACAGAACTCCAATAGCCATGAACAGAAAACCTCTCCACAGCACATCATACTCAAAATGCCAGAAAAGTGACACAAGAATGGAATTGTAAAAGCTGTTTGAGAAAAGCAATGAATCACTTAAAAAGCTAACCCCATGAGAATTAAAGTAGACTTCTTAACACAAACCTTAAAGGCCAGAAGACCTTGGAGTAAAGTGTTTCAAGGCCTAAAAGAAAACAACTTCCAACCCAGACTGATGTATCCTGCAAACCTATCTTTCAAAATTGATGGGGAAATAAGATATTCCATGATAAAGGACATCTAAAGAAATTTATGACCACTAGACTAGCCCTCCAAAAAATTCTCAAGGATATCCTAGAAACAGAAAATGAAGCTAAAAATGCCAAAAAGTCCAACTGAATGAATACAGCAGTTAAGGTGAGTCGTTAAGAAGAACAGAAAATCAGCAACAGGAAAATAATGCAGTGACAGGAAGAAGTCTGTACTTTCAGTAGTAACTCTCAACATGAATGGTCTTGAATTTTCTAATAAAAAAGAAAAAACCAGACTGTCAGAATAGATCAAGAAACAAAATCCAATTGTATACTGTATACAAGAAACACATTTAACTCAAAAAAGAAATTCATAGACTAAAAATCAAAGGATAGAGAACAATGTTGCATGCAGAGAATCCCCAAAACAAGAGTAGCTGCTGTATATTCAGAAAAGTGGACTTTCAAGCCAAAACTGATCAGAAGAGCCAAAGAAGGTCCTTACATATTAAGGGAACAATTCAACAGGAAGACTAAAAAGTATGAACGTATATGCATCAAACAATGGCACACCCAACTTCATAAAACAAGTACTACTGGACATAAAAGATCAGATAACTATACAACTATAGTACAGAACCTCAGTACTCCACTGTCACAAATAGAAAACTAGACAAAAACTTGACAAAGAAATAGCAAAGCTGAACAGAGCCTTCAAACAAATGAATGTAACAGATATCTCCAGATTGTTCCATCCAACAACAACAGATTACATGTTCTTCTCAGCAGAACATTGAACATTCTCCAAAATAGATTATATACTAGCCAATAAAGCATGCTTAAATTCAAAAGAATCAAAATTATACCATGCATACTATCAGATCATAGCCCAGTGAAACTAGAACTCAATGATAAAAAATCCCATAGAAATTATGCAAATGCATGGAAATTAAACAATATAGTCTTGAATGATAAACGGGTCACAGAAGAAATCAAGGAAGAAATAAGACAGTTCGCAGAATTAAATGATAATGCCAATACAACATACTAGCATTTATGTCACACAATGAAAACAGTCCTTGTCAGGTGTGGTAGTACACACCTATAATCCCAGCACTCAGGAGGCTGAAGCAGGAGGGTTGCCACAAATTTGAGGCCAGCCTGGGCTCTACAGTGAGTTAAAGACCAGCCTGAATTACATAGCGAGGCCCTGTTTAAAAAAAAAGAAAAAAGAAAAAAGATAACAGTTTTAACAGGGAAGTTTATAACTGTGAATGCCCACATCAGAAAAACAGAGCAAGCCCAAATAAAAAACCTAATGATACAACTCAAGGTCTTAGAAAAACAGGAAAAATTCAAATCCAAAGCTAGTACAAGAAATGAGATTATAAATATCAGAGCAGAAATAAATGAAATGGAGACTTAAAAAAATACGAAGAGGGCCGGGGATTTAGCTCAGTGGTTCCGCCACCTGTCCCACTAGTGGAAGGACCCGAGTTCAATCCTCAGGACCAAAAAAAAAATACAAAGAATCAACCAATTGAAGAGCTGGTTCTTCAAAAGAATAAATAGATGAACCCTTCATCAGTCCCACCAAAATAACAAAGAAAGAATCCAAATCAATGCAATTAGAAATTTAAAAGGAGAGGGCCAGGGATTTAGCTCAGTGGTGTCACCACCTGCCTCACAAGTGCAAGGTCCTGAGTTTGATCCCCGGTACCAAAAAAAGAGAGAGAGAGAAATTTCAAAGGAGAAATCACAACAGACATTGGCAAAGTCCAGAAGATTTGTTAACAAACCTATATGATAAATTCTTTATGCCAAATTCTGTAAACCTGTACACCAATAAGTTGGAGAATTCAGAAGAAATGAATACATTCCTCATACATATGAATTACCAAAAATAACCAAAAAGATGTTAAAACCTTGACTAATCCAGTAACAGGTAACAAAATTGAAGCAGTAATAAAAACCCTACCAACTAAGAAAAGCACAGATCCTGATGGATTCACTACTACATTCTACATGATCTTCAGGAAGATCTAATGCTAATACTCTTCAAACTATCTAATGAAATTAGAAGAAAGGAATACTCCCCAAAGTCATTCCTGGAAAGCTAGCATTACCCTGATCCCCAAACCAGAAAAGAATCCAACCAAAAAAAGAGAACTACACATCAATCTCTTTAATGAACATACATGCAAAAATCCTCAACAAGACACTGGCAAACAGAATGCAATAAATCATTAAAAAGATCATACATCATGACCAAGTAGTGTTCACCCCAGGGATGCAAGGATGGCTCAATATATGCAAATCAACATCACATAAACAGAACCAAGGACAAAAATCACATGATCAATTCAACAAAAAAACCTTTTGACAAATCCAACATCTATTCATGGTAAAAACCCTAAAGAAAATAGATGTTAAACCTGGGATTCAGCTCAGTGGTTCCACCGCCTGCCCCTCAAGCACAAGGACCCAAGTTCTATTCCTGGTACCAAAAAAAAAAAAAAAAGAAAGAAAATAGATATCAAAGGAACTTATCTCAATATGATAAAAGCAGTTTGTGATAAACCTGCCAATATCGTTATTAAACAAGGCAAAATGGAAAGCTTTCTCTCTAAAATCAGGAAAAAGACAAGAATGTCCACTATCACCAAACTTGTTCAACATAGCACTTGAAATATTAGTGAGAGCAATCAGGCAAGAGAAAGAACCAAAATTGATATGTAGAGGAAAGCAAGAAGTAAAATTATCATTATTTGCAGAGGACATGATCTTCTACATAGAAGACTCACCAAAAGACTCTTAAAACTAATAACCAAATTATATCCTGTAGCAGGATATAAAACCAACACACAAAAATCAATAGTGTTCCTGTATACCAATAATGAACCCCGAGAAACTAGAAAAACAAGACCACCAAGTAAAATTAAATACTTAGGAATTAACCTAACCAAGAAATGAAAGACCTCCACAATGAAAACTATACTACTCTGGAAAAGGAGATCCATGAGGACATCAGAAAATGGAAAGATAGCCTCTATTCTTGGATAAGTAGAATCAATATAGTTTAAATCCTCATACTTCCAAAATTAAAAGAGAGGGCCAGGTGTAGTGGTACATGCCTATAACCCCAGCACTTGGAAGGCTGAGGCATGAGGACTGCCATGAGTTCAAGGCCATCCTTAACTACACAGTGAGATCCTGTCTCAAAAAACGAACAAACAAACAAAAAACTAATAGATTTAATGCAGTCCCAATCAAAACACCAACAGAATTCCTCACAGAATTAGAAAAAACAATCTAAAATTCATATGGAATCAGAAGAGACCCAGAATAGCAAAAGCAATCCTGGAGAACAAGGGCAA